AGAACGCTTAGTGCAGAAACCCCCTACACCCGTCCTGGTTCCTTCCTCCAGGAGACTCCTCGTTCTTCCACAAGGCAGAGCCGGGTCTCTTCTGCCTTGGGGTATGTCCATCGATGATTGACAAGTTCTCTCTAAAAATTATGTCATTCCAATCGCCCCATCCCTCCTAGTTTCCTACCTCATTCTGTCCCTAGGCCTGGCAAGTCCCTCTTGGTTGATTTGCTTTTCGAGCCCTGGGTTTGAGTTCCAGCCTACCACTCACCAGCCTCGGACAAGCCTCTGAGCCTGTCTGAGCCTCTCATTGTTCATCTGTAAAATGTGGCCATTGCTAGACCCCACTTCACAGGATTTGGGGAGGAAACAAGGTAGAGTCCTGAGCATGGTCCGGGGCCTAAGGAGATGCTCAGTAAGTAAGTGCCCTTGAGATTATTAGCTTAGGGCCGTCTCTGGGGTCTAGTGGTTAAGACTCTGCACTTCAAACGCAGGGGGTGCAGGTTCAATCCCTGGTGAGGGAACGAAGATTCCACAAGCCCTGTGTGGCATGCTCCCCCCCAAAAAGAAAGAGGTTATTACTTTAATTGTGTCTTAATTATCATGGATAACATTGAATAGGACTTCTCACATGGCTCAGTGATAAAGAATCCGCCTACCAATGCAAGAGATACAGGTTTGATCTCTGTCTAGAAACTCTCCTGGAGAAGGAAATGGCAACCCACTCCAGTATTCTTGCCCAGGAAACCTGGAGGACAGAGGAGCCTGGCAGGCTACAGCCGTGGGGTCACAGAAGAGTTGGACAGAACTTAAGCGAGTGAACAGCAGCAACAACACTGAATATGCATGCCCCACAGACAAACTGTGCTATTTACAAGCACAGTCACAGTCTGTGCCCTGGGGCAGGTATTAATGTCTTCTTCGTCTGACAAATAAAGAAAGTGAGGCTTGGAAATGTTAAATAATAAGCCCACAGCCACTCATTGTTACCACACTAGGGCTAAGCTCTTATTTTTTTAAATCTATAACTATATTAACAATGGTTTCTATAACACAACCTTAGCACATTAAGAGCAAAAACGCAGCAAGCAAAACACAGCAAGCAAACATCAACCCAATAACCATCTTTAGAATAATTTTTCTTATGTTTTCTAATAGGACTACTTCACCCCTCAAAAAGGCTCTATGTCTATTAAGGCTTTTATATAATCAGGTTCTTTATATTATTTTATGATTAGGGTATTATAAGCAATCATGCATATTAGTACCAAGGGCATAAATGCATTTGCCAAACAAACTAAAATACCAGCAAAGGAGTTTAAATTAAAACACTCCTTTCACCCTGGATAATCTCATAAAATACCACCACCTGGGAAACTTATTGATTAAAGTTCTAAATTGATTCTTATTTGGAAAGAGATCGGGGAAGGCCTTCTGCCTGTGTCACAGAAATTAGGGAGTAGTCTATTGAAGCAAGCATCAGAAAGACAGATATCATCTTTAAGGTGAGCGCTGGGGGCAGCTTTTCGGAATCCCTGAAAACCTGATCCACCTTGCCTGTCAGGTTTTCTCCTCATGACCTCATGATGGCCCAGAGGGGGCAAGGTTGGCATGGGGTCACCGAGAGAAGGCTGACCCACCTGAAGGTCAGGAGGGCTTCCTGGAGGAGGAGATATTACAGCTAAGCAGTAAACGACATTGTAAGCACTCAAGACACAGGAATCACTTTTTTTTTTTCTTTTAAGGAATCACTCTTGTGAATGATGTATTAATAGTGGACATTCATCCTGCTACCATCCCCTGTTCTGCTCTTTGGCTGCCTAGCTCTGTGCTGGGTGATGCTGGGGACATATCAGTGACTGGTATAGCCCGGGCCCTGAATTCCTGGGGCTCACAGATGACCAGTGAGCACAGACATCAAACAAGTCATTATCCAAATCATTGGTTCAAAAGGAAATTACAGAAAACTGGCAGAAGACCTTTGGTCTGACATTCACAAATTCCTCCCTTTGTTACCTCCCAACCTTCAGCCCATCCATAGAGACAATATATTCAGTCCATAAGCATATATTAACTCTTTCCTTTTCCCAAAAATATTATTTATTTTTGATTGTACTGGGTCTTTGCTGCTTCTCGCAGTTCTTCTCTAGTTGCAGCGAATGGGGGCTACTCTTCGTTGCAGCGCACGGGCTTCTCATTGCTGTTGAGAAGCATTGCGGTCTTTGCCCTCGGGGCTTTTCTTGTTGCAGAGCACACACTTTAGGCGCACGGATTTCAGTAGCTGAAGACATGGGCTCAGTAGTCGTGGCTAACAGACTTAGTTGCTCTGGGGCATGTGGAATCTTCCCAGACCAGGGATTGAACCCATGTCCCCTGCATTGGGAGGCAGATTCTTGTCCACTGGACCACTGGGGGAGTCATAAACTCTTGCTAAAGGTAAAATATAGTGTCTGCCAAAAGGGAGTCCTCAACAGACTTTGTTCAGACTTGGCTCTCTGACTAGACTGAGATGATACGAGCTAATGGGAACAACCCCACTGCCTTTATTCAACTGACAACAACCAGAGGAACATCTTAAAACCTATTTCTCCTATGTCCTTCCCCCTGCTATACCCTTCCTTCAGGGGTATATCCACCGTGCCTTCAGGGAAGTCCCACAGGTTCTTAATCGGGTGAGATCTGACATCCACTGTATCTAACATTCTAAGATGTCCCTTTGGTATTCTGAAATTAAACTTGTAGATAATAGAGCCCACCAACACAAATTTTATTTTCCAAAATTAATATCTAAATTAATACCAAAATTAATATTTTCCAAAATAGTCCTAACTATTAATAAAAAGGGAACAATTTATAATCAAATAATTGTCTGCTTTAGTCTAGAGATGCTCAGGCATGGCCACTGTAAAAAGCATCTCTTCAGGCAGATATTAGCATCTCTGTGTAGATTCACCACGAATGAGACAAGAATAATCTGTGTGTTGTTTGGACAGTCACCACAGTTAGCCCTACCTGGGGTGATGTGGCTTCTAGAAAGAGTGAACAACTCTAGATCAATTTCTCAGCAAATCAAGAACAGGCAGGCCATGATGGACACAGCCATTGCATTCCAGGAAAGGTCAGTATACTTTAAAATATTGCAGAAGCACTTAGTGTTTACATGTAAAACATAGCTGAGCTCTAGACTCAGTTCATCATAAATGGGTTTTCCTACATACATGGGTGTCCAGTGGAATGTAATTGTTCTTTACAATTGTTCTTTACAAGTTGGACTCAGTCGTGTCCAACTCTTTGCAACCCCATGGACTGAAGCCCATCAGGCTCCTTTGTCCATGGGATTCCCTAGGCAAGAATACTGAAATGGGTTGCCAATTCCTTCTCCAGGGGATCTTCTTGACCCAGGATTGAACCCTCATCTCCTGCATTGGCAGGCGGGTTCTTTCCCCCGAGCCTGTGGGACAGTGGAAAGTTAAATGGGATCTGAGACAGATCTTGGTTGAATGGATGGTTGAGACATTCAGCATTCCTGGTCCCTGGGCCTTACATCTAATCACACCTCCAATCACTGTGACAAACCCCCAAACACCCCCATCAATTCCAAAACATCTGAGGGAGATCACAATCTGATAGCAACCAGTCCATGCACACTGGGCTGGCCCCATCTGGGACCCTCACTCCATTCTAGCCACCCCTGCCCCCTTGCTGTCCCCAAATTTCATGCCTCCAGAGCTTGTGTTCCTTTTCCTGGAAGATCGTTCCATGTAGTCTTAGCTTCTGGGTCCCCTCTCCCAGCCCAGCCTATGTATTAATAGTTGGTCTATTGTTTTCTCATTTGCTGGCTGTTCCCCCATTGGACTGCTTGTTCATGACACAGGCACAAAGTAGCTGTGGTCACCACTGAGTTTCTAGAGCCCAGTATAAGGGGCCTCAATGATTTATGTGTTGAGTGATCAAGGGGACCAACTGGGAACCACAGGTGGAGGAAAAATTCCTAGAGGTGACATGGGCAGGAGACACGAAGGTCAGGAGGGATGTGGAACAATATACCAGCCCAAGGGGGAAAGGCATTCTAAGGGAGGCTGTGCCACACCAAGGCTCTCTGCTGCTTCTCCATGTCATTCTCTGGGGGCAGACCTGGGTGCAAATCCCTACTCTGCAATTTTCCGGCTGTGTGAACTTGAGTACTCTCCTTAACCTCTCTGAGCGTCATATCCTTCTCTATAAAATAGAAATGAGGAGGCTCAAAGAGATCATTTTTGTAAAACATTGAACACTCTAGTGTGCACTTAGTAGATATTTGGTGAGTACGTGGCTCCTAGTTCCAGATGTGATGAAAAATTAAGTTTTAATCCCGAATAGGTAGGAGGAGCATCTAGCTTTGGAGTCACATGGCCTAGAGTTAAAGCCCCAGCTCTGCCATATACCTGTTATGTGACTCTGGGCCACTGAGTTTTCCTCTCTGAGCTTTAGTGACTTGTCAATAAAATGGGGTCATAAGTGTGTTACCCACCTGGCATTGCTGTGAAAATGAGATCAGATTGTGAATGTGACTGTGCAGCACAGTGTCTGGCTCCTGGGAAGGGGTTATGTTGTTATGATTAGGAATGGCTCTGGGGTGTATGGAGGGAGCAGGCCCCCAGCCCTGGAATAAGGGAGGATGGGGGCGGGGGCATTTGCAGACATGAAGTTTTGTTGAAAGGATAGAAAAACTGAGGGCCAGGGAGACGGGTCTTTCCAGAGGTCACAGAGCACCTTGCAGGCCCAGCAAGGACCAGCGACAACAGGAAAGACCCCCTTCCAGATCTCCATGGGGGATTAAACTCAGAAAGGATCAAAGGTAAGGAGTGGGCCCTTTAAATCGTAAGCTCCACCTTTGCTTAGAAGGGTCTTTGGGGATATAAAAGGGGGTGCAGTTCCTCTCCGCCCCTGAAAACCATCAGCTGCTCCTGTTTGCGGGCCCCCAGCCCACTTCTCTCCAGCCACCCCACACCAACACTCCCCCGGGTGCCATGCAGCTGCCACCCTTTGACATGTGGAAGGACTACTTCAACCTGAGCCAGGTGGTGTTGGCACTGATCCAGAGTCGGGGGCAAGGGTCGGAGACCCAAGGGACTGGGGAGCCAAGACCTGGGCCCCAAATGGAGCAGGATCAGGGGCAGGGAGGACGGGGGACCAGCGGGGGCCTGGCCACCCTGTGCAACTTTTGCAAACACAATGGAGAGTCTCGCCACGTGTACTCCTCACACCAGCTGAAGACCCCGGAGGGCGTGGTGGTGTGCCCCATCCTGCGGCATTATGTGTGCCCCCTGTGCGGGGCCACCGGGGACCTGGCCCACACGCTCAAGTACTGCCCGCTCAATGGGGGGCAGCAGTCTCTCTACCGCCGCAGTGGGCGCAACTCAGCCGGCCGCAAGGTCAAGCGCTGAAGACCGTCAGGTACCCACCCGCTGCAGCCCCAACCCTCCCTGGTTCAGCCCTCCCAAGCCCCTGGACTCTCCCCATCCCTGGACTCATCCGGCCCTTTGGAATGTCTGACTCTCAGTACTAGATCCCTGCTGGATCCTGGAACAACGGAGGCAGTGGGAAGCCAGGCCAGCTCTGCCGCCCCTTAGAACTCTCAGCTCTCGGGGCTCTGTCTGGGAGTGTCTGTGGATTCTCCTGTGCAGCGGGACACCCTACTCCTTGGACCACACAGCCCCGTGGCTCCTCCTGGGCCACAGTCCATGGATCTTCAGTTCTTCTGGGACATTTGCCCTGCCTCTTTGACTTCTCAGCCCTCAGGGTTCCATTCCTTGGGGAATTCTTGGACCATTGGTCTTGCAGGACTCCGCTGTGCTCTCCTAGGGACACCCCTGAGAATCTGGAGAGAATGAACAGGCTGGCGTGGACCTTCCAGCCCAAGAACTTCAACATGGGATTCTGACTTAAACCAGCCTTCTCTGCCTCCTTCGGGACACCGGCAGACCCACGGTTTCATCGTGGAAGGCACCGTATGGGCCCCGCCCTCATCATCCTATCCATCAAGAGCTGGGAGAAGGAGGGGTCACGTCAGAGGGGTACCACGTCTTCGCAAGCTTATCTGGGGCTGGAGAGCCTTGGGGTGCACTAGTACCCTTGAACTCCCCCCTGGTTGTTCTTTCCTTTGTTCATTTCATTCCGTTTTACTGTGCTCCTGCCCCCACGGTGATGGCGAATCACCGATGATGGGTCTTTCCCGTAGCGAGAGGGCGTCTCTCCGCCACCTCCCACCCGCCCCCACAAATGCCCACAGTTTGTAAAATGGTCCTTTCTGTCCTCCCGTGTTTTTTTCAACCTCCAACAGTTTAGTAAACGAAGCTCCCACAGGAAAGGGGTTTTAATGCCCGGAGGGGGATGGCAACAGCCTAGATTTTATTTTAGGGGCAAAGAAAAGCCCCAGTCAGATTTTTACGTTGTTTGGTTTTTAACTCAGGGCTGGGCCCGAGTGTTGAGCTCTAGTGAATAAATAAAACGCGTTTCTGGTTGTCTTTGAAATCGCTATGTCTGTTTCCTCCGAGGCTGGGGGTGGGGGGGAGGGTGGGGAGACCCGAGTTTGTCCTAAAACGTGGGAAGCAGGAGGTGGAGCAGGAAGGAGACCCGGGTCCCTCCCACGAACGTGCCTCCCCATAACCACGTCCTACACAGGTCACCTGTGGACTGTTCCCTAAATCCCAGCCTCCACCTCGACCCTAGAATCCCTTTCTTCGTCTTTTTCTTCTGGGCTTTGTCCAGGGTCCCCTCCCACCCCTGCTAGAACACAGATCATCCAGGACCTATTTTTGTGGTGGTTCTCAAACTCGGCTCCCAGAGCCCATTGGGGAGGTGACCAAAAGGACTGGTCCCTGCTCTGGGGGAAATGCACATAACCACAAAACGTTGCATATGATACCAGCGTTTCTTTTCTTCCCATCATTCCACACATATTTATTGAGCTCCTACTTTGTGCCAGGTGCTGTTCTGGACATTGCTGGTTACAGCAATGAGCAAAGCAGACAAGGCTCCTGCCCTCATGGAGGTGACATTCTAGTGGAGAAAGGGGTGAGGTGACAATCAAAAGTTCGTTCGGATTTTAAAGGTCTTCCGAAAACCGGAACGAACTTTTTGGCCAACATAATATCAGGTGGGTGATAAGCGCAGTGAAGGATAAGAGGCAGGGCAAAGGGGTAAAGAGTGAAGGAGGGGCTGCTTTGTACGGGAGGTGGTCAGGGGAGGTCTTTCTGTGGAAGTGACACTTCAGCAGAGTCCAGATAAGTTGAGGAAACCAGAAGGGCATTCCATGCATTGGTGACAGTGAGTGCAAAGGCCCTAAGGTCAAACTGAATCTTTGCAGAAGAAGCAGGAGCCCAGCGCAGTAAGATCAGAGAGGCATAAGGGGTAGGCAAAGAGTTCAGAATCTTGCAGACCTTGGTGAGACTCTGACCTTCATTGGGCGTTTGCACTCTGAAATTCACCTTGGGCTCCACTCTCACATACTCTAGTTACAGAGAAAAAACCAGAGACCTCTCCTCACAGGTCCTTTTCCAAAAATGCAGATCTGCCCACAACAGAGATCCCCAAATCCCTCAAACAGCCAGAAGGGATGCCCTAACCCCAGAGCTGTGGTGTGCCCGCGCGGGCAGGTTGAGCCGTGGAGGAAGTGGGGCACTCTGACAAAGGGTGTGCAAGAGTATGGAAAGCAACAAGGGGGTGATAGTACTCAGGGCGATGATGACAGGTGGAGGGGGCACACTTTAGACCAGAGAAGTGAGAGGAGGAAGATGTTCAGGCCAGTCTGGGATGGGGATAGATACAAAGTGCCTGGGGACATCCAAGATGAAAGCATCCAGGAGACCTGATCTGGGGCTCCGAGGAGAGGATGGAGACAGACAATTAGTGACCAGTTTGGTTTTGGTGTTTTTTTTAATGAATTTTCATTTATTCAGCAGATAATTAAGTGGCAGGGGAGCTCTGACAAGAGCTGAGGACACAAGGAGCCGGAGGAATAATGTCCCCTGACCTTGATCTCCCCCAGAACCTCACTGTTGAAGAGCTCCATACGGCTCTGCCGATGGCTCCCTACCAGCAGCCTCTGCACAAGCTCCAGACCAGATTTAGACCTAACTCGCTGCTCAGCCCACACACTCATGGAGCCCCAGCATCCTGGGTGGCTGCCCTGGATGTGCAGTGTATTCATTTCCAAGGGCTGCCATAACAAAGGACCATAAACTGGGGGGACTTGAAACACAGTTCTGGAGGCTAGGAATCTGAAATCAAGCTGTTGGCAATGGTGCATTCTCTTCCAAGGCTCTAGGGCAGGATGCTTGCCTCTTCCAGCTTCTGGTAGCCCCAGGCTGTCCTCGTTTCTGACAGTTTCACTCCCATCTCTGCCTCCGTCTTCAAAAGGCTGTCTTCTTCCCTCCGTGTCTTTCTCCTCTTCTTAGAAGGACTGTGATGTTGGCTTAAGGACCCACCCTACTCCAGTATGACCTCACCTTAAGTAATTACATCTGCAGGGACCCCTTTTCCAAATAAGGTCACATTCTGAAGAAAGGATTAGGACTTCAATATTACTGGGGGGGGGGTGGGCAGTTGGGGGCACAGCTCAACCCACGGATCACCTTATACTCACCAGGTCCTAACTGACCTCATCTCCCCAACTGGGACCTGAGCTGGAGACCTGGGTGTCACCGAGACACCTCCCTTTCTGTCCCCAACCTGACAGTCACCACACTCTGCATATCCTGCCTCTCAAATGTTTCCCAATTCATTTCCCACCGTCCCTGCCCTGGTCCAGGCTCTCCCACCCTCTCCTTGCCCTCCCCCCCAGACTTCTCCCTTGACTCCCAATAATCTCGGCCCCTCCCACCCACCTTCCACACAATGGCGGGGTTCTTTCCAACACACACATCACACCCTGCCCATCCTCACTCATTCAAGCTCCTTAACGTTGTTCATAAGGTCCTTGCATGGGCTGCCTCTGATTCCTGGATCCTTCATGAGGCACACAGTGGGACCTCATCTAAACCCAGCCCTGGTGAAAGTCAGCTTGCCACCCCACTCTGCGCCTGCACCCCCTCAGAAAAAAATATGAACGGAGAAGAACACACAATCATGGGGACTCAACACTTACATCCAAGGACCTCAAGTAATTTGTTCTATTTGTCTACATTTCCCTGGCCATTCACTATTTCACGCTTTCTCCTCTCTCTCCGCTAACTTCAGCACCTCCTTTTCACCCCTGACCTTCCTTCCTACGCTACTGAGCCAACAGAAGGAACCAGGAGGGAACACGTTCCTGACACTGTTGACACTACATCAACACCTGCCTGCCTCCATGCCCATATAGCCCCTCCCCGTTATTGTGGCCGAACAGCCCACACCCCTTAGACCAACCCCTACTTGTGTCCTGAGCCCCACCCACCATGCCCACTCAAGGACATGAGGCTGTGATTCTCTCCTCTCTCCTCCAGAGCATCAATCTCCCCTTCTCTGGATCACCCCATAGGCACACAAACATACCGCGACATCTCCCATCTTAAATAAACCTCTTGAGATCCTGAGCCTCCTTCCAGATACCACTCCATTTCCTCTCTAGAAAGGATCATCTACACTGCCTCTCTCTATACCCTCCTTGAACTCACCCAATTAAGCTCCTGCCCCCACCACACCACCAAAATTGCCCTTTCCAGGATTACTGATGAATTCTGTGTCACCAGCCCCAGCAATCGGTTCTCAGACTTCATTGAACTTGGCTTCTAGGCAGCATTTGGCCTCGTTACCCTTCCCTCCTCGCTTGGACTTCCTAGGTGGCTCAGTGGTAAAGAATCTGCCTGCCTGCCAGTGCAGGAGACACAGGTTCCATCCCTGAGTCAGGAAGATACCATGGAGAAGGAAATGGCAACCCACTCCAGTATTCTTGCTGGGAAATTCCATGGACACAAGAGCGTGGTGGGCTACAGTCCCATCAGGTTGCAAAGAATTGGACAAGACTTAGCGACTGAACCATAAAACCGTCAATCTTCTTCTCACTCGGCGTCCAGGACAGCAGACCACCCTGGATCTCCTTTCACTCCCTGATTGCTCTTCCTCAGTCTTCTTGGCTGATCCCAGCCCTCTATATCTGAGTGCCCAGCCTTAATGCCACGGACTTCTTTTCTATCTACACTCGTTCCCTCACCAGCCTCTCCCAGTCTTAAATGTCATTATTCACTGACAACTCTTAAATTCCTATCTCAAGACTGAACCTCTCCCCTGAAGTCCAGACTCAAATATTCAACTGCCAACCTGGTATCTGTACTTGGATAAACTTGAACTCTTAATCCTCTTGTAGCCCATTGCCAGTCTTTGCTTCTGGTAGCTCCATCCTTCCATTACTCAGGCCAAAGACACTGCAGTCATCCTCAACTCCTCTTTCTCTCACTTCCTCTACCCATTTCCACTTCAGCTCACCTCAGCAGCTACTGCCTTGGTTGGAACCACTACCTCTTCATGGGGCCTCAGCTTCCACTCTTGCTCCCTAAAGTCAGTTTCTACTATTAAACCAGAGTCAGATCATGTCCTTCCTCTGCTGATAGCTCTCACCTCTTGTAAAGTCCAAAATCCTCAGTGACCCACAAGGCCCTGAAAACCTGTCTCCCCACCCTATCCTGCCTGCTGGCTCCCTCTTCTCCAGTCCACTAGCCTCCTGCTATAGTCTTACCTCTGACTGCACTTGACCCCTCACCTCCTTCATGTGTTTACTCAAATGCCACCTTCTCAGAGAGGCCTCCCCCAACCACCTTATTTTAAAATTACAGACACACTCACGCACACCACACTGTCCAATCCCTTTGCCCACTTCTATTTATTTCATAGTACTTACCACTTTTTCACTTATGTATCTTATTTTGCTAATTGTCTCACTCTCCCCAGGAAAAAGTGAACTTCATGAAGGTATAAAATTTTGTCTTTTGTATTCACTGCACCTAGAATTGTGCACGCGTTCAATAAATATTTGTTTGAATGATCAATGAAGCACTGTTTGTTGAATGACCTTGAGGACTCCAGCAGGATGTAAGCTACAAATTTCTCGGCGTAGACTTAACTCCATCATCCTTCCAGCTAGAACCCGTGTTCTAGCTTCATTTCTGCCTCCATGCATTTGCTTAACGTCATGTCGGTGCCGGGATCACCCCTTACCCTCCAAGAAACTCTCACTCTCATCTCCCTCCCCGCGTCAGTCGTGACGAAAGTGGACAGCGTCCCCTCAGGCAGGGCTTGAAGGTAGATGAGTTACTATGGTTACTGCACCCGCTTGGGGCAGACTATCTCCTGGGTGCCCAGCCCCTACGTGTAATAGATGGTTTGCAGATTCTTAGCAGCCCCGCGCACGGACCGGTATATGGGGCTGCAAACCTAGTTTTCTGACGCTCCCCACCCCACCCACGCAGTTGTCATGGAAACGAAGCGCTACCAGCACCGTCTCCCTCCCCTTTCTCTAAGACACACACAGACAAAGCTAGAGGGATGAGTGGGCTGGAAGACTGTCCGAAACGCTGAGAAGCTATGCAGTCCCATCGCTCTCCACTGTCCCTCCCTGATCCTCCAAGAATTGCTACGCCTGCGCAGGAGACAGAGTCTGGGTACCAAGACTAGCGGGCAGTCAGGCACGCATGCGTACGAGGGTTTTGCGCGTACGAGGGTTTTGCGCGTGCGCTCTGGTGGTATCTGGGAGCCAGGGGAACGAGCGCCGCGCTAACCTTGCGCCTGCGCAACTGCAGCCCGCTGACGGAGGCCGGTGGAGGGCAATTCTGCGCTTGCGCTAGGGCGGGGGGAGTGAAACCGAAGCGGTAAGGGCGTTGGGGGACCGACCGGCGCTAGGTGCGCCTGCGCCTTGGCTCGCGGGGCGGCTGGGGGCGGGGCCCAGAAGGGGAGGGAGAAAGCCGGCAGGGGGAGGGAAGAGGCCGCAGGAGCCCGATCCTTGACCGACGGGCAGGCGGGGGCTGCGGCGGCGCCGGTGAGTGATCCGCGGCCCGACTCGGTCCCCACCCTCCGTGACCCTCACTCTTCCTGGAGTCTCCCCTAGCCCTCGTTGCCCCACGAGCCAATCCCGCACCCCCATAACCCTCAGGGCTCCCCTTGATTCGTGGCAATCCCCAGAGCCCCCACAATCCCCGCAGACCCTAATCCCCAAGAGTTTATATTCCCGGCTCCTCCACTGTCCTACGAGCCCCCAACTCACCATTATTTCTGGACTGCCCTTCTAAGGACCACTTCTCTTACTGGTCTTGCAGACGTCCGATTGCCCCCGAACCCCCAGAGCGCTCCACTGATCCAGTTCTCCCCCTTCTTGCTGCATCTCCTTTTGAGGATCTTCTTATCCCCATCACCCTCGTGTTTCATCGACCTCCGAGACACCCCCATTCTACTTGCATTTCCCACTCTCCTATGCGCCCAGTTCTCCTCTAACTGCCGCAGACACCCCCTCTTCTTCCGCTCTTATTTCCCTCCACTCCTCCAGACCCTCCCCCCATTTTCATCAACTCCCTGGCCTGGCACTTTGCGCCGCGCCTGGCACGAGACGAGCGCTCAGTCGGTGTCATCTATTCTTAGGCACTCTGAGGGCCCCCAGTGGCCCGTCTCCTCCGTCTGCCCTCCGCCCCCACCCCTGTCCCCGAGGACCCGGGAGCCGGTGTCGGGGCGGCCGGGGTGGGGCGGGTGGCGCGGGGCCGCTGAACCCCTTGCCAGCGACCTGCGCCCTTTGCCCGCAGCGCCGGCGCCCCCCATGCGCCAGGCGGCCGGACGGCGGCGTCGGGGGGCGCCATGGCCTCGGCGGCGGCGGGCGAAGCGGAAGAGACCACCCGGCTGCGCAAGCCGCGCTTCTCTTTCGAAGAGAACCAGATCCTGATCCGCGAGGTGCGTGCCCACTACCCGCAGCTCTACGGCGCTCAGAGCCGTCGGGTGAGCGTGGCGGAGCGGCGGCGAGTGTGGGACGGCATCGCCGCCAAGATCAACGGCATCACCAGCTGGAAGCGCACGGGCCAGGAGGTGCAAAAACGCTGGAACGACTTCAAGCGCCGCACCAAAGAGAAGCTGGCCCGCGTGCCGCACTCCACGCAGGGCGCCGGGCCTGCCGCCGAGGACGCTTTCTCCGCTGAGGAGGAGACCATTTTTGCCATCCTGGGACCGGGTGTGGCGGGGTCAGGAGCTAGTGCAGGGGCCGAGCAGCCCCCCGCGGCTGCTTCTTCACAGCCGCCAGCCCCGAGTGCCTGCGCCCAACGCTATGTGCTGTCTGAGGATCGCAGGGAGGATCGACGCGCGGGTGAGTTCCCTCAGCATCACTTTAGCAAAAGCAACCAAATTCTACTTTGTGTCTGGCGCTGTTTTGAGCCCTTTCTGTGGCGCTTCAGAACCTCACTACAACCCTGTGAAGGGCATGCTGCTATAATCCCCATTTTACACCTGTAGAGACTGAGGCTCAGAAAAGTGTAGTGACTGTCAGAGACAAGAATGGAACCCAGACCTAGGAGATCTGGCTCCAGAAATCCATAGCTGGGTTCATCAGCTCGCCCACGATTTTCACCGTAATTGTAGTGTAGGGAGTGACTCCGGAGGCAGACAGTTTGGGCTCCAGTTACTACTTTGCCACTCACCTGTGTCATTTGGGATAAGTAACTGCTCATCAGTTTCTGCATCTGTGAAATGGGAATAAAAGATTGTCCCCACCTTACAGGGCTGCTGGGCAAATTAAATGGACTTATATGTGTAAGTTGCTTAGCACATTGCCTCCTTGTTAGTTCCTGATACAATTATCTACACTGTTAAGTAGGAACTGTTTCACCATTTTATAAATCAAAGACTCAGGGAGGTTTGGTAATTTCTCAAGATCATGCCCAGAGTAGAGAAACCCAGGAGAGTGGAGTACAAAACTTCCCATGCAACCTTGACTCTGGATGATTATTTCTTCTACAGCTATTCCCCAGGCAACTGCCCCCGAGTGTTGGGGACAGAGGTGTGACTGAGACATCCTTCTGGGACTCACAGTTCAGTGGGGAGACAGATCCATGCATAGACCATGATGACTCAGAGCAGGCAGGGCTGGGTGGTGGGAGTTCTGAGGAGAGCACGTGATCCAGCCTGGGCAGTCAAGGGGGGCTTCCTGGAGTAGGAGGCATCAGAGTTGAGATACAGAGTGATGATGAAGAAGAGCTGGAAAAGTGTTCCAGAAGGAAGAGCATGTACAGTGGCTTGGAGGCAAGAGAGCTTGGCCACTTTAGGAAATTGAGAGATGTTGCCTTCTGAGAGGAGAGGAAGGAAGAAAGAACATAGTTTTGAGATTGAGGCCAGAGAGGTCAGCAAAGGTCAAACCATGCAGGTCCTTTAGGCTGAGATAAGGAGTTCAGTTTTATCTTACGTACTGTGCGGAGCCACCAAAGGGTTTAGAGAAAGAGGGGACATGTGATCCAACAAGGCTTCTCAGGATCATGTATTATAATTTCGAGAGGTGCATTCACTCACCCAAAATCACACAGCAAGTAAGCAGTAAGAACTTGAATACAGGTTGTGTCCAACTCATAGTCCGTGAACTTAATTTATACACTGGACTGGACGGCCTGATACATACGCCATGTGTGTGTGTGTGTATGTATGTATGTATGTATGTATGTGTGTGTGTATGTGTATACACATGTTGTATATGTATATTGTTGTTTTTGTTTGTTGCTAAGTCAAGTCCAACTCTTTTGCAACCCCGTGGACTGTAGCCCGCCAGGCTCCTCTGTCAATGGGATTTCCCAGGCAAGAACTCTGGAGTGGGGTGCCATTTCCTTCTCCAGGGAATCTTCCTGACCCAGGGATCGAACCCATGGCTCATGCATTGCAGGCAGATTCTTTACTGCTGAGCCACCTGGGAAGCCCACAACAAAGACAATTAATATTGACTGAGAGTTAATGAGCGTGCCAGAACTGGATCACACATGGTTTGTAAATAAAGGTCAGGACTTTGGATTTTATCTTGAGGGCATCTGGGAGGCATGACAGTGTCTTAAGCAGGAGAAAGACACAATTACTTGGGACCCTCATCCTCAGTATGAAGCAAATGTCAGTGTTTCTGTGAAATGGCCCCATTGAACCAGCACAGAGTTGGCAAACTTATTACTTGAAAAGCTGTGCAACCCCTCCTTTCATTCATTCATTCAACAGGCATCATGGTAGGTGCTGCGAATACTATGGAGAAAAAGACAATTTTCCTTTTCGTATGAAACTGACATTCTAACTATGGTAGACAAACCACAAATAAGTAACCCTCAAAGCAGATTATACGAAGAGGTGATAAAAGAGGTAAAACAAAGCATGTTAAGAGTGTAGTGAGTAATGGGAGGGGGCGGCCGCTGTAGACAGGGGAGTCAGGGAGGGCTTCTCTGGAGGTGAAATTTGAGCAGAGACGTGAATAGAGACTGGGCCAAGTGGATATCTGGAGGAAGAGTACTCCAGTTGGCGGGAACAGCAGGTGCAAAGGCCCTGAGGCAGGTATGTGCTTAAAGTATCCTTGACTAGAATCTCACACAGAGATTACCCACTGTGTAAAACTCTTAAAAGAGGAATTGCTCTGACTGAAGGACCGGAGCAGGGCCTGGGGCAGCCTGAGGAATCTTTGCTTACACTGGAAGGACAAATAGGGACCATTTATCTTGTGACCTAACATTTGAATGAAAGAACAGTAACAATAACAACATGGGGACCTTAACTCTGTGCCAGGCACTGGCCTACGCCATGTACCCATGGCGATTCACTTAACATCTGTAACCACCCTCGGGCAGATGTTCTGTTACAGGATTACTTGGTCCTGTGTTCATAGGCATCCATTTACAGATGGGGAAACTGAGGCCCAAAGGTTGCAAATAACTCTGATTTTTAACTCTCCTAGTGGTCCTTCCATAACCTCTGTGAGCATGAAGGCTGGGCCCCTTTCTGTTCTTTTTGTGCTTGTGCTAAGTCACTTCAGTCGTGTCTGACTGTGTGACCCTATGGATTGTAGCCCACCAGGCTCCTCTATCCATGGGTTTCTCCAGCCAAGAATAGTAGAGTGGGTTGCCATGCCCTCCTCCAGGGGATCTTTCTAGACTAGAAAACTCTAGGAAGCTCTTCCTTTACTAGACTAGAAAAGTCATGTATTATTTCCGAGTGGCTGCAATTCCCATGTGCTTTATGAAGACTTGCCATGGATCCCTTAGCCCCGGCGCAAGGAATGGTTAAAAGCATAGGCTCTGAAACTTACCTAGGTTCAAAGCCCTCTTTTTCCATTCACGAGCTCTGTGACACCTCTCTGGGCCTCAAGTCAGCTCATCTGTAAAATGAGCTAATAATGATAACACTTACCCCAGTGACTGGCTGGGAGGACTCGGTGAAATAACATAAGAGGAGAACTTAGCCACTTCACTCAGGGCTGGCCAGGAAGATGTCCAACCACCTTTAGCTCTGGTTATTAGCGCTCTGCCAGCCTCTCCCACCTGTCCAGGCTGCCTGGCCTAAGAGGATGGAGGGGGTGGTGATCCTGGTGGAGGGAATGGTGTGTATACTGGCCTTGAGGCAAAGAAGAGGAATAGAAAAGGGCAAAAGCTGAGACCTTATAGCCCTAAAGAAAGTCTTGGACTGTCCCCCTTGGGTGCTGGGAACTGTGGGAGGGTTGCTACCAGGACCTGGGGCCTGCTGCCCAATCAGTACTGACTCCTAGGAAGCCCTGATTCTTTTCTCATTAAACACAAAATTTTGTGCTGGACATTGTTCTAGGCGCTGGGTAAACAGCCGTGAACAAAACAAAGCCCTGCCTGATGGAGCTGACATAAGGAGGAGGAGAGAGACCACACACACACAGCGATCCCATGCCAGGTGGAGATAAGTGCTATAAAACCAATCAGGGAGGGTTAGGAGAGAGAAAAGGACAGAGCTGCTTCAGACAGAGGGTCGCTGATGTTCTTCCCAAGGAGACTGAGTTTGAGCAGAAGCCTAAGGAGGTGAGGGAGGGAGCCTGGCAGGTGACTGGGGAAAGATCTTTTCCAGGCTGACTGAGAAGCAAGTGCAAAGGCCCTTGGGCAGGAGTCAGCCTACAGTATATGAGAATCTGGGACTTACCTGGTGGTCCAGTAGTTGGGACTCCACACTTCCAATGCAGGGAGCACGGGTTTGACCCCTGGTTAGGAAACTAAGATCCCACATGCCACCCAGTGTGGCCAGAATTTAAACCAACAAAAAGTGTATGAGGACCTACACGGAGGTCAATGTGGCTGGAACCAAATGAACAAGAGAGAGTAGAGTAGGAGTGAGACGTGAGGTTAGGGAGGCAATGGAGGCAGATCCTGGGGACCTGAGAACTTTGCTTTTACTGTGAGATAATAGCCACAGGAGGGTTTTGAGCAGATAAAAGATCTCACTTGTACCTTTATTGAGGGAGAATTCTCAGACCATACAACCCACTGATTTAATAAGTGTACAATTCAGGGGCTTTTAGTATATTCATAGACTTGCACAACCATCCCTACAGTCAATTTTAGAGATTTTCATCACTCCAAAAAGGAACCCTATACCTCTTAGCCATCAACCCCGCCATGTCCCTCCATCTCTGCCCAGCCCTGGGCAACCACTAATCCACTTTCTGTCTCTATAAGATTGTCCATTTTGGACATTCCATATAAATGAATGATAATGAGGTCCTTTGTGAGTAGCTACTTTGCTGTAGCATAACTGTCGTGTATTTTAGTTGGACCCCTGAGGGCTGCTGGTGGAGAACAGACTCTTCAGGGGTGGAGGTGAGGCTGGGAGCCCAGTGAATAGTCCCAGGTGGGGAGATGATGGTGGTTGGACCAGAGTGAGGGTCATGGAGTTGGACAGATGTTGGACAAATGGTTATTTGTACATGAGTGGTGTCTTGGGAAAGAGGGTGACTTTTTTACTTTGTCCCAAGTAGCTAGAAGATGGAGCTGCCATCATCTGAGATGGGGGTGGCTGAGGGAGGAGCAGGTATAGGGGAGAACCAGGAGCACAGATCAGGCAAGTGAGCTGGAGACATTATTGGATGATGATATTGGAGGGGAGAGGCGAGTACACAGCCAGATGGAGAGGTTCGGGCAATCTGGGAGCCTGTGCACACAGACTCTTCATGTCCATGAGTGTGAATGACATCCCAGGTGAGAAGAGGCGGAGGAAGCCCCACAGGCTTGCAGTTGACCTGGCACAGGCCAGAGTTGAGATTGCCATCCTGCCATCTGGTTGGAGAGACCCCCTATTCCTCCAGAAGTCCCCTTCTCCTGCTCCAGCCACCTCTCCTGTCTCCCAGGCCCTCCTGCCCCCTCCCTTCTTCTCCCCAGAATCCACGGCTGTGGCCAGAGATGGTTCTGTCTGGATAGTTCAGAGCCTTCTAGAATGTTGGTTCTTACTCTGAATGAGAACAGAGCTACCTGGCTCAACAGGAGACCTCCAAGACCCAGTTTCCATTAAGGCTGGCACCGGCCACCAGCTTATTGTTTTTTGTTTTTTTTTTTTTCTTTTTTTTTTTAAGGGCAATCAAACCCTAATCCTAGACCCAAACGATTAAACCAGGAGACAGACAAACGTATTATTCCTCTTTCCCTCCATCGCCTCAACCCAGCCCTTACAGGATCAGTATTAGGCTTAAAAATGAAGGAATGAAAAAGGCAAGGACAGTCCACTTCCTCAATGAGAAGGGAGCAGCAAACTAACTCCTAGGTGTAACTGAGAGGCCGGCACCATCGGAAACTCGGCCTGCGGCCAGTTCCTGCGGTCACTGCTCGGTGACTCGGGCTGAGTGAGCGCGCGTGTGCGTTTTGTGTGATGTGCGTCTCCGGTGTGGCGGTAGCGGCTCGGGCACCGCCACTGCGAGTCCCACCCCGAGTTCGGTCCCCCTTTCTGGTGCCCATCTCCCTTCTCTTCGGAAGCAGGGTCTCTGCTGGGGCCAGGAGGTGACGAACAGTGACCGGCTCTTCCCCGGTAAGGAGGCGATGTGGGCCGGGATCCCAGTGGGCCGCACCGGGCGTGCCCGGGGCTCGTCAGGGCCCAGCACCTGGCCGGGTGAGAGCCAGATCCGCCCACTCTCGCCCCAGTCTACTCCCCCCACCCCGGGAAGCTCAAAGAAAGGCTCAGAGCATCCCACATAGCCCGCGACGCTGGGGTTGTGTTCACCTCCGGCGGCTCCAGCTCGCTGCGGCTTCTCAGGCTTCTCCAGCTTATTGTTAAATATATTGTTTCTCCCCCCTGGGTCCTGGGGCTTCTGCTGCAAGGCATGATCCGACTCAGGTTTTCAAAGGCTGACTTTGGGGCCAGGCTGGGTGGGAGGTGGAAAGGGCAAATCATGACAGCGTTAGAGGTCCCGCCTGTTTCACCTACATCTCTCTCTCCACAGACACACCAGCCCACGGCAAGGGGGGCTCCAGCAGCCCAGAGCCTTGGGCCAGAGCCTCCTGCAATCCCCAGGAAGGGGGCTGCCAGCCACCCAAGGAGCGTGAGTCCTCGTCCCCTCCAGCCCTGCAGACGGTCCAGCTGCCCCGCCTGGCCTTGTCTCCGCCGCCCCCAGCCCCTCCATCACTGCCGCCACCACCCCCACCCCCCCAGCCACCGCAGCAAGCCCAAGCAGCACCCTCGCCCCCCAGCCCCCCACCCCCTCCGCTGCCTCCGCCCCCGGCCCCAGATCCCTCCCTGGACTTCCTGCGGGCTCAGCAGGAGACTGCCAATGCCATCCGGGAGCTGGCGGGCACCCTGCGCCAGGGACTGGCCAAACTGAGCGAGGCCCTCAGCGCCCTGCTGCCCCTTCTGCCGGGAACCCCCGCTGACCCACTGCCCGCACCCCCGCCCCCACCCCCGCCCCCCAGGCCCATCTTGCCCCCCTCCCCCAAGGTGGAGGTCACCCCAGAGCCGGTGTCCGTGGTGGCGGCCGTGGTGGATGGGGCCGTGGTGGCAGCCCGGGGGGTGATCATTGCCCCGAGGAGCGAGGAGGGGGCCCTCCGGCCACCCCCTGCCCCTCTCCCACCCCATGACTCCCCCCCCCACAAAAGGAGGAAAAGTTTCCCTACACGGAAGAGGCGGGGGCGATGGAAATCTCCCTGAAATCTGCCATGGGATTTGAGCTTGTCTACGCACCTTTTGCCTGCACCTCCTCCCCAACCTTAGCCCTGTGGAGGAGGGCAATGCACCTTCCCTTCCCAGCTGCACCCCGGCTCCCTGCTGCAGGGGCACGAGCACCCCACCCCCTGTACTAGTTAGTGCCTGATTCTGGGGCGGGGAGGCCTCCTGGATGGGCCCCCCCAGCCCTTTCTCCAGTACAGCGCTGTCTGCCTGGCTGCTTCCCCCAACCCCGACTTCTAAGCCATGGATTTTATGTTATTTATTATATAACATAATATGGTGGGTTGCGGAGGGAAACCTGCACTACCCCCCACCCTCGCCCCCACCCCTAACAACTCCTGGCCTTGACTTGAAGAGAACTTACCCACCTCCCCAACCCAGACTTTGGAGGGGGTGGGGGCTGCAAGACAAATCAGGATGAAGAGGAGACTGCAGTTTGTACCCTAGGGAGGGAAGGGGTGGAGTTCTCACTGGGGAGATGGAGGTTGAGCCTTCTGCCTCCCACTGCAGGTCTCTGACCTCCAGAGCTTAACCCCCTCTGTCCTCCCCAGTGACCAGATATCAATAAACTTATTTTTTAATACAATTACTTGGGGCTCTGCCTGAGACAGGCCTGGAATTTTACCACTATACCAGCCCCATCTGTCCGTGGTCAGGTGACACTCCCTTGAAGTTGGAGGCTGGTAGTTTTCTAGAATTTTTTTTTTTTCTTTTCTTAAAGCCATCAAGTCCTGTGTTCAAATCTTACCCTACTTTTTCATCCTTCAGACACCCCCTGCTAAATGTGACCTCTAGGAGGACACCTTGGATTCCTTTTTCTGGGCTCGGATGGGTCTGCTGCTTAGATTTTCCCTCAGCATCCTGTCATCCCTAAATGAACACATGCCTTTATTTAAAGCCTGCTCCCCCTATACTTTAATGAAGTCAGGAAGCTGGTTCTCTTTTCTACTCCCAAACTGGCTGGAAAATCTTGCAGCTAAGTAGGTAATAGCCATCACCCTGGACTCAGACCTGGTTCAACCCCTGGGGCTGCCCTTTATTGTCCTCATCTGTAATATGGGCATAAAGATTTAGCTACAACTACATCCTATTCATCCTTCAGGTCACAGCTCAAATATCACCCCCTCAAGGAAAGGCTTTCCTGATACCTCCTTTCTCCCCCAGCAGTTATAAAAGAAAGGGAGTTAAATAATCATTTGAGTACATTTAAATTAAATGTCTGCCTCCAGGTGAGCCTTGTCAGGGCACGGCCTGAGCCATCTTAGTCGCTGCAGCATCCTCAGCATTGCCCATCACAGAAGAGAGGTTGAGTCTTTGAAGTAATGGGAGCTTAAAAACAACTTTCATTTATGGTGCTCCTTTTCTGTGCCAGGCTCCACGTTCAGCATTAATACGAATATGCATTTTAACGTGAAGGTACCCAATGAAAAGCAGGAGTCCCCATTTTCTCCTGAGAAGGTTTAGAGGCTTGCTCTAAATTGGTCAGGGGCCAATGCAGTTCACCGGTCTGGCTGGAATTCTTGACTCCCACTCTCTTTAATATTTATTAAAGAATAACTAAAGACAATTTTACTTGATACATAGATGGCCTTTTTAATGGCTCTATATGTACATAGTTTTATTTTGTAAAAATGAACCTAGTACTTAAAACCTGTAATTAGGCACATAATACCGCTTAGGATAAGGCAGAAGTAAATAGCCTTTTTTCATAGAAGTTACTTCAAGAAAAATGTTAATAACAATGGTTAAAAAAAAAATAACAGTGGTAAACAAAATTGTGCAGCTGAGACTGAAGTTTGGATAACAGAAACAGCCCTGCTATGGCTGCAACGGTATGAAGGAGAGGGGAAGCAGGCGTTCCCTGATTAGTTTGAAAACTAACGAATGCAATCCTGGCAAGTCATTAAAATACTTTGAGCACAACAGAGACCCAGGCTTCCCTGGTGGCTCAGTGGTAAAGAAATCTGCCTGCCAATCAAGGAGATGCAGGTTTTATGCCTGTCTGGGTCAGGAATGTTCCCTGGAGAAGGAAATGGCAACCCACTCCAGTCTTCGTGTCTACTTGGAGTAGCCCGGCGGCCTACAGTCCATGGGGTAGCCAAAGAGTCAAACAAGGCTTAGCAACTGAACAACAGACCCAGGCCTAGAGAAAAGAGGCTGATGTAGGTTAGAATCTGGAAACCTGTCTCTCCTACACACGCCCCTTCTACAAACACGCCCTGCAGCGTTCCATCGCCGGGAAGCACGAGGGTCCCAAAAGCCTGCTTTTGCCTATCAGATAGTAAGCACTCAAGGTTGGAAAAAAAAGAGATCTGGTTCTCGCTCTCCCAGACACTATGCCCCACCTCCAACTCTTGCTATCTCTGGCCTCATTTTCTCCTTCCAAATTAGTGAGCCGTAGAGGTCGAGAGCTCCTCTCAACCCGGCGCTCAGAAACCCCAGAAATTGAGGTGGGGGGCTGGGTTGTGGCCAGACAGCGGGAATCGTGAAGGCCTCAACCAACCTCCCAGGCGGCGGAAGTGCGTCGGTTCGTCTGCCCCGCGGAGCATTTCGGGAACTGTAGTGAAGTTCGGCGGGGTGCGCAGAAACTGACAGTGTAACCCTTTGGAGACCAGAGCGCGCCGGCGGAACTGGAACAGTTAGGGGCGTTCGACCACTCCCTTTGGCAGATAAAGCAACTGACGCGGAGACCTTCAGTCCTCTCCTTTCACCGGTTTTCGCTGGCCCCAGTCAATAGTCTGATATCCAAGATTCTGGGCAAGACGAAGTGCCAGGTGGACAGTCCTACCCAACACTTGGATCGCCAGCTTCCTGTCCTCCCCATACCCTGAAACCTTCCAGTTAAGGCCCCTCCGCCCCCGCCCCACGAGCTGCTGCCTTCAGTAACCGGTAGCCGGCCCACCTTTTGACTCAGAGAAGGCAAGACTTGCCTAAAGTTGCACAGCAAGTCGGAGTAGAAACCAGATGCCTGATCCACCTCCTGCAATTTCTGAATCCGCGGTGGCTCTGACCATCCGTATCATATCCCCGCCCCCAACCTTTGTGCTCCAGCTGCTTGGAGCAGCCAAACTCCCTGCCCCGCCGGGAGGAGTAGTCACGGCTGCTCAGCGGAGAGGCGGCGAGCCCCCACCCTCCTGCAGCTTGCGGTCCCCTTTAAGAACAGGCCCCGGCGGGACTACGTTTCCCAGAAGGCTTTGCCGGCGCGTTATGTAACTTTCCCTGCGAAGCGGCCTCTGGGGCAGAAAGAGGCGGCGGCGGCGGTGGCGGCGGCGGGAGAGGCGGGAGCCCGAGGCGGCGGCGCCCGCGGCCCATCGCGGGGCCCGAGCTGTGCGCCGCGGCCCGGAGCCTGGACCCGGCGGGGGCGCCGACGTGCCTCTGCCAGTCTTTTCGAGGAGGCGGGAGTGAGGAAAAAGGCTTAGGGCCCAGGGGGCGGGGAAGGGGGGCCGGGCCTGGATCCGCGGGGAGGCCGAGCGAAAGGCCTGGCCGTGGCTCGCGGGGACGCGAATCAAACGGCGGCGGCGCGGATCGAACGGCGGCGGCGGCGGGTGGAAGGCTAGAGCCCGAACGGGCGCGTGCGGGTGCTATGGCGTCCGTGCAGGCGTCCCGCCGCCAGTGGTGCTACCTGTGCGACCTGCCCAAGATGCCGTGGGCCATGGTGTGGGACTTCAGTGAAGCCGTGTGCCGCGGATGCGTGAACTTCGAGGGCGCGGATCGCATCGAGCTGCTCATTGATGCCGCCCGCCAGCTCAAGCGCAGCCACGTGCTCCCCGAGGGCCGTTCGCCGGGGCCCCCGGCCCTCAAGCACCCGGCCACTAAGGATCTGGCTGCCGCTGCCGCACAGGGCCCTCAGTTGCCGCCTCCACAGGCCCAGCCCCAGCCGTCGGGGACAGGCGGCGCTGTCTCCGGCCAGGACCGCTATGACCGGGCCACATCGTCGGGCCGCCTCCCCCTGCCCTCGCCCGCCCTGGAGTACACCCTGGGGTCCCGCCTGGCCAATGGGCTGGGCCGCGAAGAGGCTGTGGCGGAGGGGGCGCGAAGGGCCCTGCTTGGCTCCATGCCCGGCTTGATGCCCCCCGGGCTGCTAGCAGCTGCGGTGTCTGGCCTGGGAAGCCGAGGCCTGACGCTGGCACCCGGCTTGAGTCCTGCCCGTCCAGCTTTCGGCTCTGATTTCGAGAAGGAGAAGCAACAGAGGAATGCGGACTGTCTGGCAGAACTGAACGAGGCCATGAGGGGCCGGGCAGAGGAATGGCACGGACGCCCCAAAGCCGTGCGGGAACAACTGCTGGCGCTGTCCGCCTGCGCCCCTTTCAATGTCCGTTTCAAGAAGGATCACGGGCTGGTGGGACGTGTGTTCGCCTTCGATGCTACTGCCCGCCCGCCAGGCTACGAGTTCGAGCTGAAGCTTTTCACTGAATACCCCTGTGGTTCTGGCAACGTGTACGCAGGAGTCCTGGCCGTCGCTCGCCAGATGTTTCATGATGCTCTGCGCGAGCCGGGCAAGGCGCTGGCCTCATCAGGCTTCAAGTACCTCGAATATGAACGTCGTCATGGCTCTGGGGAATGGCGCCAGCTGGGGGAGCTGCTAACGGATGGGGTCCGCAGCTTCCGAGAGCCAGCCCCCGCCGAGGCCCTGCCCCAGCAGTATCCAGAACCGGCCCCTGCGGCCCTCTGCGGCCCTCCCCCACGAGCCCCATCCCGGAATCTGGCTCCCACTCCACGCCGTCGCAAGGCCTCCCCTGAGCCCGAGGGCGAGGCAGCTGGGAAGATGACCACAGAGGAGCAGCAGCAGCGGCACTGGGTGGCACCCGGCGGCCCATTCTCCGCTGATACCCCTGGTGTGCCCTCCCCCATCGCCGCCCTGAAGAACGTGGCCGAGGCCCTGGGCCACTCCCCCAAGGACCCTGCCGGGAGTGGGGGCCCCGTGCGCGCCGGGGGTGCCAGCCCCGCCGCCTCCTCCACGGCCCCGCCTCCAGCCCAGCATCGTCTAGTGGCCCGCAATGGTGAGGCAGAAGTGAGCCCCACAGCAGGGGCGGAAGCTGTTAGCGGGGGTGGTAGTGGCCCCGGGGCGACCCCTGGGGCCCCCCTGTGCTGCACCCTCTGCCGAGAGCGTCTGGAAGACACCCACTTCGTCCAGTGCCCCTCAGTGCCCGGACATAAGTTTTGTTTTCCCTGCTCCCGCGAGTTCATCAAGGCTCAGGGCCCTGCTGGAGAGGTGTACTGCCCCAGCGGAGACAAGTGCCCTCTAGTGGGCTCCTCTGTCCCCTGGGCCTTCATGCAGGGAGAGATCGCCACCATCCTTGCTGGAGACATCAAGGTTAAGAAAGAACGGGACCCCTAGGCCACCACTGCCACCAGTCTACTGCCCATCCGCCCCCGCCCCGCTTCACCCCTTGCCACCCACCGCTGCTGCGGATAAATTATTCCCTCCCCCACCCAGGCCTGTGCCTCCCCCACCTGTGTACATACCCACTTCCTTATCCCAGATGGGTCCCCTGGGGTAGATGCATTGAGGGTGGGGGGAGAAAGCTTCTGTCCGAGGGGGTGTTTGGGGTCCCCTGACCCCTCTGGTTTCCCTCTCCCCTCCTTGGCTTGGCTTTGCTGCTGCTTGTAGTTGAGGGAGAGGTGGCCCCCTCCTCCTTGAGAAGGGGCCTCCTGAAATCTCGCTCTTTATAAATGAAGCAAAAGCATTTTATTGCCCCCTCCCCCCCCATCTTACCCCCTTTTCGTCCTTCAATAAACCGAAAGATGGGTTTTTCCTTCTTGGTCCCTTAGTTGTGTGCGATGCTGCGCCCCCTTTGGGACTAAACTGATCCTGCAAGGGAGAGGACGTCGCCTTGTAGCCTCCAGGTGGCGCCCTTCACTCAGGTGGGCTCGCCGGCTGTTTTTACAAAGGCTGGCCGAGCCGCCTAGCCATCAGCCCGTTTTCCAGATGCCAGAACTAAGGCTCACCGGGGGGCGGGGCGGGGGAAGGGGATGGTTCTTGCAGGGTAGCCACAATCAAGCTCGGGAATTAGGTTTCCCGTCTGGCCCATCCCCTACATCATCCCCAGAAGGTAGAGGACACAGTGCCCCCGAGGGGGAGTGGAAAGAGGCTTCCCAGAAGGGAAGAGCTGTGAGTTCTTGCTGGGTAGGGAGAAAATTAGGCCAGATTGCTAGGGCGGACTGCGCGAGGACATTTACCTCCTGAAGTGCACTAAACAGGGTCCCTGGGAAGACGGTGACTGCTGCTCGCCTCTGCTGGTGCCCTGAACTGTGCGCCCATCTCGAGATCAGCCTCGAGGGCGGCCGCCCTGAGACACCGTAACTGGCCGGGTGGAAGGCACTCCCCCCGCGGTCGCCTCTGATGTGTGCGGCCTTGTCCCGCACCTGTCCCGGCCGGCTGATTATTAACCAGGACTTCCTGCTCGCTGGCGTCAGGGGGCGGGGCCTGGGCGGGCAGTGGCAAAGCAGGGGTTAAGGGGAGGGGGCGGCCCCCCAAAAACCCAGCCCCCACCCCAGCGGCCTTTCCCCCCGCCCCTCGCGCGACCCTGACGTGGAGATTCCGGGAAGCGGGGAAAGCGGGGTGCAAAGGCCAGCAGATGGCCGGAGAGATGGGGAGTGACTGTGTCCGCCCCCCCCCCCCCCAGCCCTGTCAGACGGCTCTGAGGCCCTAGGTTGCCCCAGGTGTCAGGAACCCAGCTGTTATATCACCCAACTCTGGAAGGCCTTAACGTCCCGACTCATGTTGGTTACCCAGGTGTCCCACCCAGAAGTCCCAGCTCCCAAATATTAGGGACGCTGGGGCCTGGTCCTCCGTAGCTGGAGCACCCTTAGTTCTTGATCTGAGGGGTCCCCTCCCTCCCCCCAGCCACCAGGTCTCAGGTGTTCTGTCACCCCTGGCACCGCCAGCCTGGGCTCTGGGCAGGGCTGGGAAAACCACCCCTGATTAAATACACCAAGGCGATAAGCGTGGGGCAAGGGAGATGCTGGATAGAGCGCCAAGCCTGAGCACCCCTCCTGGGCAATCTTGTGGCCTCCCCTGACCCAGCTCTGCAGACCCAAGTATTGAGTAGCTCTCCCTGCCCCCATCCTCAGAGTGAAGAGGACTCCAGACGCCAGGGCACTATGCCCCACTGGGGGCTAAAGACCTATGGAGGACACCTGGTCCTTTAAGAACAGCTGGTGGGTGGGTGGGGGGCAGGGGAGTCACCCCCAGCCTGGCCGGTGTGTATTCTAGATAGAGGTTGGGTTAACTATTAACAGAGCAGACAGCCTGAACTGTGTGGGTGTGGGGGGCTGGATCAGCCCCTCTTCATTCAGGGCCAGGGTGGAGCCAGAGCCAAGAGGCTCTGGAGTGATTTGGGGATCAGTGAGTTGATGAAGAGCCTTCATGAAAGGAGAGACAGGGACACAGAGAGAGACTCAGGAAAAGATGGAGGCCACAGAGGTGATGAAGGAGCTGTAAAGAGACTGGCTCATTGAGAGAGGACAGAGACCCAGAGAGAAAAAAGGAGAGAATGATGAGAGCCCCTCGGAGATGGGAGAGATGCAGAAAGAGACAAACATTCAGAAAAGAGAAATATCCGGACGTGTTAAGAGAGGCTGAGATACACTGAGGAAATGCCAACAATAGAGAAAGGAGAGAGGAGAGACTGAGAGTCAAAAAGAGGATGAAAAAGAGGAGAGAGGGAAGGGGGAGGCTGTGAAATCAGGAAAAGGTACAGGTTTGAACTAAAGAGTTAAGACATAAGAAGGGCAGGGCTGGATCTGTTAGTCACTTGGTCCCCATGATAAGACCTGGCTCAACCCTCACCTTCCAGGTCTCAACTCTGCTGACATGTCCTCCAGGAAACCCTCCTTGACCCTCAGTCTGTGTTAGGTGCTATTTCTGGGTTCTTGCTCCCCTATCCCAGCCCTGAGCATTCTAAATATTAATAAAACTGCACTGCGAGCCCCATAAGGGCAGAATCAAGGCTGTCTCAGTCCCACTGAGTCCCCAGTCTTGCCCGGCACTGGCTGTTTAAAGGATGGATGGATTAATGGATTTCTTTCCTTCAAGAAATGTTTATCTGGCACCCACTGTGTGACCAGCCCTGCTGTAGGTGCTGGGGATACAGCAGGGAACAGAATGCCATCCCAGTCTCATGCAGCTGACATTCAGGTGGGAGATACAGACCCATAAAATGTGGATCTCAGCTCCCGACCAGGGATCGAACTCATGCCCCCTGTGGTGGAGGTACAGAGTCCTAACCACTGGACCTCCAGGGAAGTCCCAGAGATTGGTATTTTAAAAAGGGAGGCAGGGCTTTCTGAGATGACACTAAAAACTAAAGGAAGTGAGGGAGCAAGCCAGGAACACTCTGGGAGAATAGCATGTGCAAAGGCCCTGAGGTGGGTGCCTGCGTGGTTCACTCCAGAAGCAGTCAGGCAGTGCAGCTCTGGCAACAGGGAGAGACATACAACTGAGGTCAGTGGGATCGCAGGGGCACACTGAGGGTCCTGTGGTCCATAGGGAGGACTTTGGATTTTCTTTTAATGGGAACAAGTAGAGGGTTTCAAGCCCTGAGAAAAGAGATGAAGCAAATGAGACAGAAAAAGCAAGGAATCAGCTGAGATGGACAGCATCCTGTTCAGCTCTGTGTCCAGGGCTCAACAGAGGGCCTAGTATATACGCCCAGTGACAGTGTCTGCAGGAGTGAATAAGAGGCAGATTGACAGAGAAAAGAGTCAGAATGACATTAGCTGGGTGGACAATCTCCCAGGGAGAAGCCAGGTTAAGGACCCAGGACGCCCAGGGACAGCAGACAGACAGACACAGACAGACAGACGGCAACCCAGCTGAGAAGTCCCATTCCTTCCAGAGGCCTCCCCACCCGGAAACCTTCCCAGGAGCTGGAAAAATCCCCCAGTCCCCCCTGCCCGCCTTGCCCTGTGGCGTGCCCACTCACACCTCAGGCAGAGGAAGCTGGCAGGCCCCACAGGAACCTTTCTGCGCGGGGGGAGTGAGGGCGGGCGGGCGGCAGGGACGAGGAGAGAGGAGTGGCGGGCGGGCGGGCGGCGGGCAGCGGCTACACAAAGGCCCCAGTGTCTGCCCTCCTGCCCCTGGGTACAGATATAAATAATATGCACATATACCTTTATATATATATATATATATATCTCTCTCTACCAGTGGGCTGGGGTGGGAGGCTGGGGCCACACACTCCCCCACTTAAGGACCCTGGCAGAGCAGAGGTCTGCTCCTGTTGGGGCTGGGGCCTCAGAGACAGTGACCAAGCCTGAGTGGTTCCGGGTGAGAGGGACTTAACAAGGTTCGAGAGAAACAGGAAGAGACTGGCAGATTGTGGCCCCGAGTTAGAAACCAGGTGGCAGAGAGAGTTGGTGGGCTCAAACGGAGACAGATCAGGAAAGGAGAGAAATCAGATTTCCCTGAGAAAAGGCAGAAAAAGTCCGAGGCAATGGGACAGAAATGAAGACAAGGGTCATTCCAGAGAATGAACCGCAGAGAAACACAGGTGAGAGGAAGTAGGGGCAGAAAGAAGTGGAGAGGCCAGCAGATAGCCAGGGAGCAACAAAGAGAACCAGGCAAGCAGGCAGGGCCAAGGCTGGGGGCTTGGGAAGGCCGGGGGGCCGTGGTTGGGGGAAGGGTCAGGGCACATCTCCAGTTTAGGGGCACCGCCTATGGGGCTCTGGGCCAGCCCAGTCCAGGGCAGGCTAAGGGGCAGGGAGCGGAGGTGAGGGAGGTGGCCCTTGCGTTCCGGATCTTGGTGTTTACCTGGGGCAGGCATTGCAAACAGGCGCCCAGCCTGGCCCACGGCAGGGCGAGGGTGGGACGGGCTGGGCCGCAGCTCTGGGCACCAGTGGGCCCGACACGCCCACCTGTGGCCTGGGTGGTGAGTAAAACACACGGCGACACCTGGGTAGATGGTGACACATAGGGGGACAGACACAGTGACACACACGGACAGATATAGGCAGACCCAGGGTGTCTGAGACATAAACAGACCCAGAGAAGCCAGGACAGAGACACGCTGTGATAGACACGGTGGCAGACACAGTGTTGCGCTCAGAGACACGGCAACAAAACGCAGAGGCTGAGGACAGTCAGACACGCTGCAGGCAACGGCAGCACTGTGACATGCATGCACACACAGTGACACGAACCCCAGCAACGAGACACTGACACGGGGACACACAGGCGCACACACGCACGCTCACATGCTGACCACACAGATCACGCAGGAACACGGAAGCCCGCGGACGCCATGACAACGACACGCTGACGCCAAGGTACACACTGACGTCGACTCCCGGACTGCTGGCTGCTGGGGTGCCCCCTTGGCCTCCGGTTTCGGGGTGTGAGCGGGGCTGACCGCGGGGCAGGGCTTGGGACCCCAGGGCCCCACTGTGCTGCTCTTACCCCTGTAGAACAGCGCCCTGATTAAGGGCCCCAGCTCTGGGCCTGGGTTCAAGTTCTAGCTCCCCACTCACCACCTGTGTGACCTTGGACAAGTCACTTCTTCATGCCTCAGTTTCCCCAGTGATAAAATGGGTGGTGGGAAGGACTGGCTCCATTAATTGTTAGGTGCTTCCACGATGCCAAGACATGTGGTATGCCTTAGTAACCTTTGTTATCATTATGTTTCTTTTCTGCTTCGCCATCATCGTCTCATGTCTTCTGAGGCAGGTGGCTCTCTGCTCACAGCAGGGACCCTGCCTTGCCCTCTGTTTCCCCACCCACGGGCTCCTCCCTTGGACCACGTCACCCAAAGCCACAAGCCATGCCCAGGTCCATCTGTCCCAGCTCAGGCTTCTCTGTGTCCTGGTGGCTGTCCCTCCATCCCTGACCCCCAGCGTCCTTATGTCTGTCCATGCGTCCCATGTGTGACTGTGGTACTTTTCCATGCTGGCCACCCGCCGGCTGTCCCTGGGGTGGGGGTCACACCTGCCCACGCCGGCCGAGCCAGTGGCCACCAGACACCCTGACGGATGGCCCCACCCTCCCCTCCAGGACCCTACAACAACACCCGCCCCTCCGGCCACCTGAGGTCCCCACTGGGGCGGCCTGAGGCCTGAGCCTGGGGACAGGAAGCCCCAGGCCTGGCCGCCCTGAAAGCCTCTTTCAGCCTGGGCCTCCTCCGGCCGCCACCGACTCCTCCTGCGGAATAATATTTGGGCTGTTGGCCGGGGGGCGGGGGCCAGATCCGGAGGCCGCCTGGGAGAAGCCAGAAACCGCAGGGCTTCCTGCCTCGGGCCGGCTGACTCCGGGAGAGACCCCCAGGCCCGAGGGAGGGGGGCGGGCACCCAGGGAGACTGAGGGCCTTTCTCTCGGCACCAGTTGTTTTTTCCAGGAACCGGGAGGAATTCCCCAGCCTGCCCAGGACAGCGAGGCTGGTGGGACGGCTGACGGGGAGCCAGCGCGGCAGGGGGCGGGGGGTGACACGCAGCCGGCGGGGCGGGCACGGTGACAGAAATAGAGGGCCTGGCCTGCGAGGTGGCAGGTAGAGGCGGAAACTCAGGGAGCTGGGAGAGGGAGGCCAAAGAAGGAGGAGGAGAGAGGCCAGAGAACCAAGGGAGTGGGGGGAGGCAGACCCCAAGAGAGGAAGACTTAGAGCCCCAAGGGAAGGAGGGAGCATTCAGAGAGAGAGGGAGGGACAGACTCAGAGGAATGGAGAGGATGAGAGAGAGCAAGGCAGAACATTCGAGAGACAGATGCACAGAGGATGTGCGAGCTGCCCACAAACCATAGGACAGAGATTAAGACACAGAGACAAGTAGGGACACAGATGACCCTAGGGGACAGACAGATGGACACACAGGAAGTGGGAGAAACATCCCTCTCCCTTCTGTCCTCCCTCTGTCTCTCTGTCACTTTCTCATACACACACGCACACACACACAAAGAGACAGCTTTTGGTCTTTGAATGGACTGACTAAATGAATGAGTGGCTACAGAGCCAACGGCCATGAAAGGCAAATACAAACTAAGGAAAAGACACCTGCTCCAGCCAGCCTGGTGGCATGAGCTTGGCCCCAGCTTTTCCCATTCTGGTCCTCAGTTTCCACCCTGTGAAATGAGGGCCATGAAGAACACACCTGTGTTTCCCAGAGAGCCATGTTCTCGGGAACATCCGAGCCACAGATACCAGACTCAGAGCCTAGGCAGAGACCTGGACAAATAGAAGCCCCTAGACCCCAAACCCAGAGGCCCCCAGAAGCCCCCACCGCCCAAAGGAAGAGTCAGCTCCTTTTCCCCACACCTGCACGTGAAAGAGACAAAGACCACTAGAGCCAGCCAATACACGCTCACACACAGCCACAACAGTGACAGGGACGCGGCAAAGACAGACATAAGTCATACAGACATACTTTTTAGAAGACATACAGGCATGCTGACTCACAGAAATATACATGAAACACACAATGATCCACAACACCGACGTAGGCACTGGTAGATTCTTTGAGGCAGCAGGCAAGTAGACAAAGGAACATACCGGAAGGCATATCCAACAGTGTGAGACCCAGGATCCCAGGGATAGGTGTGTAAGAGCATCACACACACGAAAAACAAGGCAGACGCACAGAAGTCTGATATCCTGAGACACCTACAGTAAGCACATAGAGGATGGACATAGATTAAGGATGGACACAATTAAGGGATACAAGCCATAGATAACACCCACAGCAGACCATAGGGACCTCAATGGCTATAGCGATACCCTATGACCCACAGAGGCACAGGCGCGCACACACACACACAATCTCCTTCAGTTAGCACCTCGTTTGTCCCTCCTCCTCTCCAGCTTAACCAAAAATTGAGCTGTCCCAAAGCTCTCTGAACCTCAGTGCTAGAGGCATGTGTCAAGAGAGTGGGGGTGGGGAGATGGCCTTGGTCACTTCAGAGCCACCTCCGCCTGCTGCCCCGGCTCCATGGCTGCGGGGGCTGCTATCTGTGAGCAAACTGTCCTTGGGGTCAGGGACAGCAAAGAGCCAAAGGTCAGGTCGATGCCTCCCCCAGCCCTTCCCCCAGAGAGGCAACTGGCTCTTGGGGGCAGGAAGGAGAGGGGACAGGACACAGCAATTCAGCTGTTTCAGCCTCGAAGGGCCCACTGGCTAAGGAAAAGACACATTCAGTAAGAGGCAGAAATGGTGCCTTTAATGGTCAAACACAGCCAGTATCCCCCTTCCCCGGCAAGAACCAGACTTTAGTAGAAATCCCCCACACCCTAACCAGTCCTTTCTGGTTTTTCCTGGACCAGAGGGAGAATGGGCTCCAGAAAAAAAAAAAAAAAAACAAGGAGTATCCTCATCTCTACCCTTCATTCAGCTCACACCAGAGACAGGGATGACACGGCCGACACTGGGGCTGTGGTGGCCATTATGTTGCACAGCGGTACACGGGTGATGGCAGACCGTCAATATGGCGGCCATCACAGCACCCAATGGGCCAAAGAAGACGTAACCGAAATGGTGCCACCATCACATCCAGAGGCTCAGCCAAGAGGCTGGGCATCACAGCACCCAAGGGGCCAACCAAGAAGTCATCCCAGAGGGTGGCCATCTGAAGACCCAACAGGTCAACCTCATCACATCGATCAGTATGGCAGTCTTCACAGTACTCAATGGGCCCACCGTGATGTCAGTGGCAGCTATCATAGTACTCAGCAGATCAACACGATGCCCACAGTGATGGCGGTCACCACGGTGAGCAGTAGACCAACCAAGATGTTGACAGACGGGACGCGCAAGGTGTCCCCGGGGAAGGTCAGGCCCCAAGAGCCAGATGGTATGAGCTACCACCCACCACGCTCCCACCCCACCCCTGCTAGGATGCGTTAAGCAGAGAGCGGGAATAGAGGCCCTGGTAGTAGACCCCAGGCTCCCCACCCTCTGCCCCGTAACCCCCAAATCCCACGTCCAGTTTGGGGGGTGCTGGCGACTGTTCCGACATCAGATTGTTGATGGAGAAAGGGTGATTGAAGTTGTAGGGCGCATCCAGCTTTAGCTCCCCTGGGAGCTCCAGGCCGGTGAAGTAGGGCGTGGAGGGAGCAGCGGGCGAGCCACAGTCCAGAGCCCCCACTTCGTCCCCACCCTGGGCCTCCGGCTCAGGGGGCGGGGGCTGCGGCTGCGGCTGCGGCGTGGAGGCCACACTGGCGGCAGGGGCGGCGGCCGCAGAGGCTGACCCCGCACTGTTCCTGGAGGCCGAGCTCCCGCCGCCCCCTTTCTTCACCTTCTCCTCCAGCTTGAAGCGCTTCTGGCGACGTAGGTAGCAGCCGTTCTCAAACATGTTACCTGAGCTGGGGTGCAGGGCCCAGTAGGAACCCTTGCCCGGCTTGTCGGGGGAGCGCGCCACCTTGACGAAGCAGTCGTTGAAAGACAGCGAGTGGCGGATGGAGTTCTGCCAGCGCTGCTGGTTCTCGCGATAGTAGGGGAAGAGGTCCATGATCCACTGGTAGATCTCGCTCAGGGTCAGCATCTTGCCCGGCGCCTGCTGGATGGCCATGGTGATGAGCGAGATGTAGGAGTAGGGCGGCTTGGCGTGGGCCAGGGGCCGCCGGTACCCTTTCGGCATCTCCTTCCCGTGGACCAGCCCCGGGCCTGGGCCCCCATACCCTGAGCTGCTGCCTCCACCAGTGCTGGCACCCAGGCCTGGGAAGGTGGGCCCCAGGGGCGCTGTGGGGGCTGGAGGCGCCAGGGGTCCAGTGGGCAGTGGGGAGGCAGGGATCCCCCCTGGGGGGTAGGGAGAGCTCAGAGGGTTCAGGGTCATGTAGGAGTTGAGGGGGGCCATAGTGGGTACTGGGGTCACCGGAGAATAGACCTACAGGGAGAGAAGGAGAGATGGTAACTGGTGAGTCTCTACGCTGTTTGTAAGCAAAGGGTCGCTGGACCCATTTTGTGTCCGTTTGTCTGTCCGTCTTGCCTTTCCCGTCTTTACCTTTCTCTGTAAATGGCTGTCTCTTCAAGTCTCTCTTTCTGCCCCCCTCTTCACGCACCCTTCTCCCTGACCCCATCTCCGACGTCCCATGTACTGGCGTGCACATGCTTTAAGTAGTTATCAAAGTGTGGTCTAGGACACCCTGGGGAGTGCCTGAGACTCTTTGGGGATCAGTGAGGTCAAACCATTTTCGTATAATGCTAAGATATGACTAATCTTTTTCACTTGGTTACTCTCACCAGCGTACAGTGGAGTTTTCCAGAGTCCACATGACATGGAATATTGCAACAGACCAAACGTAGAAGTAGCTAGGAAAATCCAGCTGGCTTCTACTGAACCAGACACTAAAGAGATGGGCAAAAATGTCACTGTGCCACCCCTCTCCTTAAATGTTCTGAAATAGTTATTTTAATAAAAATACACTGCTTATACTAACACATTTTTGCTACTTTTAAATGAATGAATGCCTATTTTTAAAATGTCTCAATTTTCACTTTGATTGTGGTAACAGCCAATATAACCCTGATCAATAAAAACTATTTGGGGTCCTCAATAATTTTAAGAGTGTGATGAGGTCCTGAGACCAAAAAGAAAAAAAAAAATGAGAACTGCTGATTTATCTAATAATGGAATCTATGTGTGTACTTTCTATACATCTTTTAGGCTATAAAATTATAGCTTTTTAAGTCAAAGCACCTGAAAATCAGAAATCACATATTTCCACCTAATATATGTCATCTGTTTATTAAATGTCATCAAATCTAAGCTTCAGTAGTATTTTAAGTGTCAATGAGAATGGAAAAAAACATTGTCAATTATAATCTGCAGACACCACTGACTGTAAAACTCATTCCATTTTCAGAAAGGTTCAAATGCGGGGGAAACGTGCATCTTAGCTCAGTGAAATAAGGTAGACATTGCTATGTCTTTGTAAGTAACTATCTTGTCTCTCAAATATTCAACTGACCACCTACCGTGTGCCAGGAACTTCCCAGGAAAGTTCTGCTCTGACCACACTATGGGGGAGGCGCTATCATGACACCCATTTTTCAGCTGAGCAACCTGAGGCCCCAGAGAGGTTGTCCAGGAGTCACACAGCAAGGAAGGAGAGCTGGGATTCTGAATCCAGGCAGTCTGGCTCCATATGGGTGTTCTGGATCAAGCTATAAAAGCAGTGACCAAGACACGGAAAAGCCTGCCCTCAGGGAGCTGTCAGTCTAGCAGGAAGTGAACAAGATAAATAAGGAAAGTACAAAGCTTGGTGGATGGGGACTTCTCATTCTGTGAGCATTTATCCCTTTCATCCTGTCTTCCATTCATTCTCTGGCAATAGTCCATCTGTCTGTCCTGCTTCCTCCCCCGGGGGGTGGGGGTGCTGGGGGTGCTGCTCTAGCTCTGATGGGAACCTCCACTGAGTCAGTGTGTCCCATCTCAACCCGTCACTTAAGTGTCTGCACAGACCAAGGTCCAGAGAGAAAAAGGACCTGTCAGGATCACTCAGGGAGCCAGAGACAGGTGGTAACCAACCCCAGGTCTGCATTCCAGTAGAGAAACTCTCCCCTGTCTTTTTTTTGCGTGTCTGTCCAAGTAGCTCTTTCTTCTTTTGTCTCTTTGACGCTCCCAGTTGGCATTCTATGTGTCTGTTCATCTCCTTCCCTGTCTCGGTTCCTCTACACTCCTTCCCTCACTCCCTCCCTCCTCTGTCTCTCCCCCTGCCCCCACACTCTCTCCCTTTATCTCTGTCTCTCTCTCCTCCATCTCTCTCTCCCTCATCTCTCTCTCCTCCATCTCTTTCTCTCCCTCATCTCTCCCTCTGCCTCCCCCGACCCCCGCACAAAAAGACACTCCCAGCCCCCATCTCTCTCTTCCTCTGCCCCTGCCCATCTCTCTCACATCTTTCTCCAGTCTTTGGAACTCTCTGATTACCCCCCTCCTCTCCCACCCACCCCTCTCTTTCTTCTCCTTCAGTACATCTTTGCATCTCTCTGTCTCTTCCCTGGGCACCACCGTCTCTCTAGAAGTCTCACATTGAAATTGGAGCCACAGCTATTCCCCTCCCCCATGCACTGGTCTCCCGTGTGGTTGGCTGACTCTGGTCCCTCCCCAAAAGCAAGGGAAGAGGGTCCTTTGGAGAGAGGGGAGAAGGTGTCAGAACTCAGGGAGATCCACAGAGAGTTCCTGAATCCCTCGATGACCCCCGACGCTTCTCCAGCTCAGTCAGACTCTCTTGTATCGCAGGGGAAGACAGACTGGGACCCCAGAGCCCTTCTTTTCTGGCTCCCCACCCACACGGAAGTCCTCCTTGAGGTCTGACCTCAAGCCTCCAGCTGCCCTAATCCACCGTCAGCTTTCACACGCCCCGGGGCTGGGATGAACCCCCAGTGTCCGGGTCTGAACCGGATCTCCCCTGCGAGGGCGGGGCTGAGACTGGGGGGGAAGCCCTGAGGGGACCTGCACCCCCATCCCAGGAGGCTGGAATTTCTCCCCTTTCATTTCCTTATTGTCTCTGGAGGAGGGTGTGACAGGGAGCACAGGGAGGCGGTGTGAAGCCAGAAGCGTTTCTAATCCTGGTCACAGCCTAGGACCTCAAGTGGCCCCTACACTCCGAGAGGCTTTAGGTTCTCCATCTAGAAAGTGGCGGGGGGGGGGGAGCAGGGAAGCAGTTGGACCAGCTGATTGGTGAGAACCAGGGGCCTGAGGGGATGCCTGAGGGCTATAACTTTCCAATTCCCTCTAGACAAAGAGCCAGCCTGGTGGAGGGGGGGTGCCATCACCCCAGCAGAAGGGTGTGGTGGGCAAGAAGCAGTGTGGGGTTCTCCCCAGTGCTCAGTTGCTGAGTGAGTGCAGAAGTTTCTCCTCTCATTGTTCTGACCCAGGTGGAGGAGATGGTTTTGTTGATGGGAAGGTTGAGGAGATCCTCATACAGTATGTCCATTTCCAGCCCCCTACAGGTCATCTCTTCCAAAATATGCCCCCAAATGCTGACTATCTCTAGACCGTCCCTCAATTTCAGAGACAATTTCCACACACCTTGTCCCCTAAGCTTCAGGCTGTGCCCCAAATAATGACTCCTTCAGCCTAGAGCCCTGCAATTTACTTCTTAAGATACACCTCCAAAACACTGATTTATAGTTGGTACCCTTAAAGCACACCCCCAGGCTCTGAACTATGCAAGGCGTTCAACTGAGATTCTCCTACCACCTGGGAGCCTCCACCACCAACCTGGTCTCTGCCTTCCCCACCCTAGAACCGACATCTCCTCCACCTCTCAACGCTCCCAATCCCTTCCCTGCCCCACCCCACGTGCACCTCACACCTCCACAGCCCCAGGACTGGCCCCTCCTGGGCACCTTGCCAAGCCTTGCAGGCCTGGGTATCCAGGAGTCCCACCCTACAGCTTCAAACCCCAGACCCAGAACTCAGGCACGCTGGGGCCCCTGTAAACCCCAGATCTTAGTGTCTTTGGCGAACTCAACCTTTGCAGTTCCACATCCCACCTCAAGCCCATAGTCCCCATCCAAGTTAGAAACCCAAGTATCCAGACCCCCATAACCTTCTGGCTACGACCCTGTCCCACCTCCACTTCATAATGTTGGCTAGAGAGCAAGCAGGCTAAGACGGAGTACTTGGAGCAAGAGGAATGCAAGTTAGACCTGGGGAAGGACTTTCCATCAGCTAGGGCAAGCGAATTATTAGTCTCTGCCCCCTATTCCAGGGAAGTCTTGTCCTGTCCGAGATGGGACTGGTAAGGACATTAGCAACTTGTGGAGATGGTGGAAGGGAGGGTGGGTCGGGAGTGGGCGAAATCTGAAAGCTTCCAGACTCCAGCAAGGAGAATCCCTGCTGAGGGTCTCTAATAACTCTTAGACCCCCGAAGTTCAGCTGGGAGGGGTGAGGGTCAAGAGTAGGGACCTGCTAGGTGGACACTGACCCCTTCTGCTGCCAGTGCTGTTGCCCCTACCCCTGCTCTCAGGATCCCGACTCTGACTGCATCTGGCCCCTTATCTATCTGAGTCCCAGCTCTTAAATCACCTGTTATTTCACACTCCCCAAACCAAGCTTCATTTCTGACCACCTTCATCTCTTATCCTTAGCTCCTACCCCTATTTCTGACTTTAAAATAGAACTCAACCCCAATCCTTATCCCAGAACCCCAATTCTTACATCTACCCCAGACCCTCATCTTTCACGCTAAATTCTAACCCTGAGCTCTCGGCTCAGACTTCTCTTAATGGTGACCTCCCTCTCCCATCTCTTAGTCACTATATTTCCCCCTAATTTTGAACCCCGTTGCCTAATCCCTCAGCTCTTTCCGTATCCCGGAACTCTGATTCCTATCTTTGGTTTATTCATTTTAATTCCTTTTACTTTGGGTCCCTGACACTCAGCCCTCACGTATGAGCTATGACTTGACCCTTGGCTGAATATTCCAGACTCCCATTTAAGCCCGCACTCCGACAAGCCTGCCCAAACCGCGCTCCCATGCATTGTCCCCCGTCTCTGACTCCTTACACCTGGTCTCCGAGTGTCCAGTTCCCCCGCTCCCAGGTTCTATTTGGGGCCACCGTTTGAGTCCACACCCAGTTCCTTACCCCCATTTAACCCCGCACCCTGATTCCTGCCCGCCCCCCCTCCCCCGCCAATTCCCGCTCCGCCATCCCCGAGGACACACCTCGCCCGCCTCCGGGTAGTAGCTCCACTCGGCCAGGTCGTGGGCCTCCATCTTCACCGAGCCCAGCATCCCCCGGGCCTGCGCCCCCACCCGCCCCCGCTCCGGCCCGGGGAGAACCGAGAGTTTCGGATCTCTCGGCCGGCACTGCCCGAGTTCCGACCCGCGCCCGTCCGTCCGACCGCCCAGGGTCCCAGTCGTCCAGGGCGCCGCGGGAGGCGGCCACGCTTTATAGCCGGGACACCCCCGCCCTCGCCCGCCCTGGGCTCCCCTCCCGCCTCCCCGAGGGCGGTGCGCCCGGATTGGGGCGCCCCCTGCGGGATTGCGAGGAGACAGACCTCAGGCGCCGGGATCCGCAGCCCGGGGACGGGAGACCTGGGGACGGCTGAAGAGTGAGGGAGCTGTAAGTGGGAAACAATTGCTCATTCTAAAAGCCTCGAGGGCAGAACTCTAGGTCCCTTCTACTTAGGGTTTTCATCATCTCAACTGGAGCAGGCGAACAGCCAGCAAGGCTTGTTGGAGTGGAAAGGGGGCTCAGAGCCGAGTAGTCTCCAGAGGTTCCGCTGTTACTTACTATAAGGACCGGTAGTAGCCCCTCGAAACCACATTTCCCTTTGGACGGACTGGAAGACTGAAGCTTCTCATAACTGAAAGTGCTCTAGATTGTGTAAATGGCCAGGAAAAAAAGTGGAGGGGATCGGGGCCTCTGCTCAGATACCGCTGAGACTGCAGACAACCTGCAAGACCTAGGAGCTTCGCCTACCCGATTCTGTTCAATCTAACATCAGCCGTCCAGGGAACCAGAGTCTCCGTGAACTCCATTTCCCAGAAGCCTCCAGCCCCCTTTCCGTCCCGCCCCCTGTCACAGGACTACACTTCCCAAGAGGCATGGCGCCCGAAAGCCGGAAATGAAGGGCTACCCAGGCTTCGCAGAGGGGGAGGGCGGAAAGCCGCTCGCGCGGTACGGGCCGAGGCGCAGGTACAGAGTGGACTCCATTTCCCAGCGACCCGCCGAGTGCAGTGATTGCGTAGTGTCACGGCGGCGAGCGGAAGATGGCGGCGTCGTCTGTGAAGAGGCGCTGCTGAGGGGGCGCGAGGGGGACGGAGGCCGGAGCCGCGGTGAGCGGGGGGCGAGCAGCGTGGGGCCAGGGACGAAGGGAGGAAGGACTCTGAAAGGGTAGGGGCGCTGTCGGGGGCAGTGAGGACACTGAGAGGAGAAGGGAGCAGAGACGCTCGGGACCCCAGTTTCTTCCCAGCTTTTGGACCCTTCCGTGGCTCCCCAGTACCCTCAGGGCAAAGTTCCAACGTGGCCGCCAAGGCGCGTCCGCACCCCCGGCCTCAGCTCTGCCAATTTGCTGGTCCCTCTTTTCGCACAGCTGCACTGGCCTTTCGATTTCCTCAAACTCGCCATACGCTTTCCCGCCTCAGGCTTTTTGCACATGCCGTCCCCTCTGTCTGCAACATCCTTTTACTCATTCCGCCTGGTTGACTCCCATTCATCTTTCAGATCTTGGCACCAACGTCACTTCCTCTGTGAAGCCCTCCTTTCCCGCCCTCCGTCCCGAAATCCGCCTGTTGGACGATCTCATAGGTCGCTGTTCCTTTCCTTCATGTCACTGGGGGGTCTCGCTTGTTATTGAACCTTTATTTGTGTGGCTCCTTAGTCCTATCTGTGCCCAGGAGCCCCACGGTGGGTAGGGACTGGGGGTGTGTCGGTCTCCGCTGTGTTCCCAGCACTGCGGAATCGCGCTGAAAACTCCCAATTAAGGTTCGTTGAATGAATGAAAGGGGCCACTCTGTGTATGTGAGGGAAATCGTCGTGCTCCAGGTGGGAGTGGGGGCGGCAGGACTCCATAAGGAGCACAGCGAGACGGAAGGGGAAACGATGATTATTGGTGATAGCAAAAGACTACAAGACACTCCCAGATATTCTTTAGTAGGGAGACTGGCAGGAAAAAAACGGATAGCCGTCAGAAAATAAAATATCATGGAACTGTAAAAAGGAATGAGGGAAGGGGGTAAAAAAGGAACCAGAGATAAAGAATGGACTGCAGCATGTATTAAGGGAAAAAGCAGAATGGAAAACAGTGCTTATCGTATGCTTCCTTTTGACAAAAGTAAAGGAAATACTTGAAAGTTGCTCAGTCGTGTCCCACTCTCTGCGACCCCATGAACTATACAGTCCATGGAATTCTGCAGGCCAGAATACTGGAGTGGGTAGCCTTTCCCTTCTCCAGGGGCTCTTCCCAACCCAGGGATCGAACCCAGGTCTCCTGAGTTGCAGGTGGACTCTACCAGCTGAGCCACAAGAGAAGCCCAAAGGAATTATGGATATACATTTAAAAAAAAAAAAGTGGAAGAGGAAGGACACCAGGTAAAAAGTTTGAGTGACTCAGTGTATTCTCATCATGAAAAGAAAAGTTCATCATGAAAGCATTCATTGTGTTCTTCTGGGAAACAGCAGTATACTGAATTGTTGGGTGGCCATGACCTTTAATTTGTGTGAACTGGGGGGCAGGGGAAGCAGTTCTTTTTAGAGAGGCAGTTCAGCATGTTACTGAGAAGGCTAGGTTCTGCTGGGTCTGCATCTTACAAGTTGTGAGCTTTTGATCAAGTGATTTTACTTCTTTGGACTTCAAATTTCCTCATCTGTAACATGGGAACTGGGGCTTCCCTGGGGGCTCGGTGGCAAAGAATCTACCTGCAGTGCAGGAAACTCAGGTTTAATCCCTGGGTTGGGAAGACCCCCAGGATGAAGAAATGGCAACCCACTCTAGTACTCTTGCCTGGGAAATCCCCTGGACAGAGGAGCCTGATGGGCTACAGGGTATTGTGAGGTTTAAATAAGTTACTATGTGAGAATTGTGCCCAGGGCATATTAAATGTTCAATAAATATTAGCTGTTATTTTTCAAGCATTCCTAGAGCCAAAGGGCATACTAAGGGATACTGAGGGATGCTAAGCCCAGTGATTATTGAAGCCCTTTGACATTTACTCAGCAGATTTTTTTTTTAGTCTTTTGGTCATACTGCGTGGCATGTAGGATCTTAGTTTCCCATCAGGGATCAGACCTGTGTCCCCTGCATTGGAAGTTCAGAGTCTTAACCACTACCACCAGAGAAGTCACACTCAGCAGATTTTTATTAAATACTTACTAGATGACTTCCCTGATGGCTCAGATGGTAAAGGGTCTGCCTACAGTGCTGGAGACCCGGGTTCAATCCCTGGGTCGGGAAGAGCTCCTGGAGAAGGAAATGGCAACCCACTCCAAGATTCTTGCCTGGAGAATCCCATGGACCGAGGAGCCTGGTGGGCTACAGTCCATGGGGTCACAAAGAGTCGGACAGGACTGAGTGACTTCTCTTCTTCCCTGGCGGCTCAGTCGGTAAAGCGTCTGCCTACAATGCTGGAGTGAAGTGAGTGAAGTTGTTCAGTTGTGTCCGACTCTTTGCGACCCCATGGACTCTAGCCTACCAGGCTCCCCCGTCCATGGGATTCTCCAGGCAAGAATACTGGAGTGGGTTGCCGTTTCCTTCTCCAGGGGATCTTCCGGACCCGGGGATCGAACCCAAGGATCGATCTCTTGAGCCACCAGGGGAGCCCAACACTCCCTGGAGCATTGGAGACCCGGGTTCAATCCCTGGGTCGGGAAGATCTCCTGAAGAAGGAAATGGCAACCCACTCCAGTATTCTTGCCTGGAAAATTCCATGGATGGAGGAACCTGGCAGGCTACAGTCCATGGGGTTGCGAAGAGTCAGACAAGACTGAGCGACTTCACTTCTTCTTCACTCGGTGCCAAGCACTGTTCCGTGCTGGGGACAGGGAAAGTGAACACACACACCTCTTCCCTCATGAAGCTTATAAATATGTAGTGTGTTTATAATGATAAATGCCATGGAGAAAAACAAAGGGACACAGATGGTGAGGGAGAGTAAGTGGAACTTTGAAATACGATGGTCAGGGAAGCCCTCACTGCTGGGATATTTGAGTTGAGACCTGAAGGAGACAAGGAGGAAGGGAGGTACGGCAGTATCTGAAGGGAGGGGTAATCCAGGTAGAGGGAAGAGAAGCACAAAGGCTCAGAGGGAGGGATGTGTTGGTGTGGTGACAGGAGGCCGGAGTGACTGGAGCAGAAAGAGCCGAGAGGAGGAGCAGAGACTGAAGAGCCAGATCGTGTAAGGTCCCCCTGGCCTTGGGGAGGACTCGGCTTCAACTCTGAGCGAGATGTGGGGGTGACGGGCAGCAGGGAGACTAGGAAGGAGGCTGTTGGATAGTCATTCTTTCAGCAGACACCTGTTAAGTGTAAACTGCTGTGTACAGTATATTATGATTCTTTCAAAAGATGCATCTTTTGCACCTCCTCAAATTATTAACAGTTTATGCAACAGTCTTCAGATCTCTTTCCCTGCACATGAAAATCCGCTATACTTATCTCATGTTTACTATGTGCGTTAACTCATCTCATCCTCAGAATAGTTGTGGGAGATCAACACTGTTACTACCCCTGATTTACAGAAGAGACAGCTGAGACCCAGCTGTTTCTTGCCTCAGGTCATTCTGTGTATATACATACACAAACTTGACAAAGATCAGTTGAATTGTATACATTCCTCTGAGGCAGCAGACTGTCACTGTCATCTTTTCATGATGATCCTTCTTTGAGACCCATCCTTTTTTTTTTTTTTCTATTTCCTGCCTGTTCTTTTTGTTTTTTCCTTCCACTCTTTTTTTCTTTTTTTAACAAATACATGTATTTTTCCCTTCTTTTGTGGAAAGGGGACATACTGTAAACATTGCGTTCACTGTGCTTGTTTTTAGTTTAATATGTGCTGGAGCCCACTGTTTATCAGCACACAGAGAGATTTGCCTCATTCCTTTTTACAGTTGCATAGTATTTTATTTTGTGGATATATTGCAGTTTTTCAGTCCATCTCCCTATTTGAGAAGACTCGGTTTGACAGTCGTCTTTTGCTACTAGGAATAGTGCTGTAATTGATATCCTTCTTATTTCTTGATTTTGCCAGTGTGACTTTGTGAGAGATATCCAGAGATATCCCCCACTTATTTTAAA